ATTTATACGCTCTGGCAGAATAAAAATGCAATGTCAAGGCAAACGATTTCAATTCTGGAGTATATGAACGCGGTACGGTACCCGTTTCTTTTTTCTGCTTCATTCTTTTCAGTAAGTCCTTTGATTTTCCTCCAAGTTTTTCCAATACGACACTATCGTCTTCTGTTACAAGATTTTTTTCCGTCAAACTATTCAGTATTTCTTCTAATGTTGCCACTCTTTTCCTTAAACGGCGATTACTGTATTGTAGTCGTTTAATTTTTTTAGATTGTTCATGTATCTTTTTTCTCAGTCTAATCTTTCTTGGAGTATCTAATATTTGAACTTGATTAGACTTTGTTTTTTGCACCAACTGCACCTATACGTTAAAATCTAAAGTTAGCAATGTATTACATTTCAACAATTAGATACAAAAAGACATTTAAGATATAGACATTAGACAGTGTATATATCCTTTAGTATAAGTGTTAAAAACCTGTTAATAAAATTTTAGTGACAAAAATTACTGTAAATTTATTATAACAAAATTACATCTTCCTGTAAGGGGTTTGTATTTTCAGCTAGTACTACCATACATTGGTTGATTTGAACATTTTCTATTGAATGCTTGTTATTTACTTCTTGTGGCTAAAAACAAGAGATTTACCTTTATATTAGCAGAAAATTTACAGGTTTATTTTCTGCTAATATAAAGTTTATTTATTTAAAAACCCTAAACAGGCTTTCATTATTAAATTTATATAGATTATTTGTACTAAATTTATATGAGACCACCTCGAGAGCATATTCTTTCGAATACAAAAAAAATCCTGAAGAATTGAGAACCTCCTTTTTGAAGTCTTTTTGAAGTCGGTTGAAAAGGTACAAATAATAAATATTTCAACGTTAAAGGCAATACCAACTTTTGGAGATGATTCTGATATTGTAATTGAAGAGGATGCTTGAAATTTTGAATTGGAACATTCCATGGTATCACAGCTTAGTTCTTGTGACTGTAAAAAAGCACTGTATTATAATACGAAGGCAAGAAAATTTGAAGAAAGTGAAAATCGTACTTAAACATTATTTCTTGTCATGTCATCAATGTAAGTAAGTCATTTTAATAAACTCACGTATATCGGTAAAAACAATGTCGGAACAGCATCTTTTTCGAGCTTTTTCTGTTTCTTTGCATTAGTATTAAAACAGGCAGTACTGAAATGTACACTGCATATTGCGCTGTATTTCTTCGGAATCCAGGTTTCATCTCTACGAACTGCTTCTACCCACTTTCTCTTCCGAGAAGGGTCACTAGGAAATCTGAAAATTCGTGTAATTTACGTTTTTAAATATTTTAAGTACAGATACTAATTATAATTTTTGCATTTATAATATTTTTATTTAATTATAAAAATTATAATTATAAATTCAATGACATCAGATTGTAGGATACTGTGATATAAGTATTCTTAAGTGTTATTGTATTGTACAAATAACATCACCATTCATTCGGTCATATCGTCAAATATCGATATATTTTTCGACATGATCAAGCACTAGTCGATGTCAAATTGACTCACTCCACAGTTTTAAGTCATACGTTCTCAATGGTATAATCCAGCCATTTTGTGATGGTTGTCAGATGTCAACAATACATAGAAATATCGACTATATTTAACATAGTTGGATAATACAAAATTTTGTTTAACATTTTATTAAATTTTGTGATAAATAACATTAAATGTAATAAAATAATGTACTTACAAGTGAAAAGAAATAGTGCTGCTTCCGCCGCTATAGTTTTTACACCATTTAACTGAACATTTAGTCATTTTTGGGAGATGTTTTGTCGACAAGTAAGTGCTTGAGACTGACGCAAAAACAAACGACCAAGCCTAAAATTGCTTGGTTACTGACAAGACCGATATAGGTACGTCCGCTCATATGTCGGGTCCAGTGGTTAATTCGTTCAAGTTTTATACACTATTTCTTAGCACCGACTTAGGAAGCTATTACATGGTTATTATTTTAGTTTTTTTAGTGATCTGAAATCGACTTTTGGTTAAAAAAAAAATGTCCGGTTTATAAATATATATAATTTCTTTTGTCAAATGTCAACATGTTTTTTTTAATCTACTAAAAACAACTACACAATATATAAACTGTGTTGTTTAATTGGGATAATTCAAAATGTATAAAATACTTTTTTATTATAAACCTAGAAGTTTCTAGTATCTTAGTACTTGTTATAATAGACTATTTTTAGATTTAAACGTTTTAACTATACATTAATTGTACAGTTTATTGAAATAAAAAAAAATGCATGCGTCTATGGAATGCGTATATTTTTTAAATTGAATTAGCACTTTGCATGAGTATTGCCATATAAAATTAATTGATGTTTGCACACATAAAACATTGAAATTTTTGTCTTTTATTAATTTTAAGCATACTCAAAAAAGTCTTATTTTATATGTTCGACGAGAGATATAACAATGTCCTCCAGACCGAATTTCGGTCAAGGTGGCCTGTCTCAACAGAGATTAGTCATGTGTGCAGGACAGGATTACAGTGCACGAGTGTGTGCGAAAGCACAGGTGCACTCTCTATTGCCTCAATCACATAGTCCGATGGGACGGTAATACGACACGAGCGAAAAGAGATCAGGTGCAGGACCAACGGCTTTACGTGTTGAAACACCAGTATATATAACTGAGAATTTTTTGACAAAAAGCTCAATGACTGAATTTGGCTACACTCGGGACGTGATAACTGTTGGGCGCAATAGAAGTTTTGACGGTTTTTTTTTTATAGGATCGGGTTACTGTATCCCATAGACATCTACATCTATCTTCAATAAAGACTCAAGATGCAGATGCGTTGTCAGCCGTGAGGACTAAGATGGAATGCCTCTTTGCCAGTAAAAGGGTCTCCGGTTCTCTACACTCACCATACGAAACACAGCATCGTTAAGCTGCTATTTTACGCTGGTTTTCTGTGAGAGCGTGGTCCTTCCCCGGTCGAGCCGACCCATTCGTGCTACAACGATAATATAGCTGCAGCATGGCTCTACCACGTTGAGAACCAGGTTTTCACTTGTATTCGTAATATTTATTTATCTTTCGGATATGTTGGTTGGTTTCCTCACGACGCTTTCCTTCACAGCCGAGAACGTGGTCAATCAGTACTTAAAATCACGATGAACAATTTTAGTTGTGTCGCGGAGTCGAACAGTATTCGGCTACCACGCTTCTTGCTTCCTAAAGTCTTCTATCACAGTTCAATATTGGGTATTTTATTTACTAGTTGTTTGCATGATAAGAAAATAGGACAGAAAATAAGGGGGAAGGTGTAGAAAATAAGACAAATTAGATTGCAGTCACTAGTGGTTTATCTCTTTTTATTGATCTCTATTTCATAGCATATTTCTATTTTTTATACAACGTTATTTTGCAATAACTGGCCAAATTTGCCGAGAAGGTTCAGAATAAGTGATAAATTAATTTAAAAAAAACTCGTAATGTCTTCTGTCCTTTTTATCTTTTCAATTCAAAATGGGTGATAATGCATTATTTTAAATAATTGTTATACATAAATATGTAACGCCAACTATTTTACTACGCATTCATAACACACATTCATAAGGGTCGCTCGATGGACAAAAATGTTGTGAATTGAATCGCACCCAGAGGAGCACGATAACGCGGGGTTGTTGACCATAAATCAGATTCAATTTGCGATAATTTCAAATAAAATTAGAAACCTTATTTATACGTATTTTCAATAACTGTAATAACGGTATATCATTATTTATATATTTGAACGTAAGTTTAAAATTTGGTTACTCTGTGGAAAATATTACAAGTAACTTAGTTCACTAAGCAAATTATTACGAGTGATTCTGTTAATTTTTGCAATAAAAACTAAAACTATTTTTTGTCTTTTATATTATTACAATATATTAAAATTATAACGTACTTTTAGTCTTCTACTGTTTCTGAAAATGTCGTATTATTTTGTGGTAATATCGTAGTATCGTAAGTATATACAGCGTGTACCAAAATACCAGGGTACTAAGTAACATATTGTATTATCAACATCAGCTTTTCTAAATTCATTCGTGCACATAAAAGGTTCTCCGGTTCTCTAAACTCACCATACGAAACACAGCAGCCTTAAACTGCTATTTTACGTTAGTGTTCTATGAGAGCGTGGTCCTCCTACCACGGTCGAGCCGACCCAATCGTGTTACAACTATAATATAGATACAGCTTTTCACTCTACTACTTATACAAAATTGTACTACCATCGATATTTGAATGAATTTATGCAATTTTTTTAAATTTAATAAAATTGTTTTAGTATCACCTAAATAATGGACTTTTTGTATAAGGTCTCGATTTGAGTTTTTGTTACACGCTGTATATTGCCATTGTTAGTGAAATTATAATGTATCGTGATAATTTTTACTTTAATGTGAAAAAAAATTTTTATATTGTATTTTTTTTTATTATGTACTCGTCTGGTTGAGGTACATAAATACATATAAAGTACACAACTTATTAAATAGAATATATACAATCTAATAAAGTTAGTTACATAAATAAATAAATAAAAACCCCAACCAGACGCTAACCATCGTCAGAGGAGACAAAACGGCCGAGGGTTATGGGAAACAGAAAGGAATATTATTAGGGGGAAAGATAAAACTATATCATTATTATATCAACAACATAATATTTACAGTCTTGACAATCTACTTGCAATAAAGTCCAATGTGTATCATAATATGCTTCCCGTATAGATTGTTTTAAAGTATGGTCTCAAGCCACCTGCATCCATCACCTCCCTGCATGTTTCGTTGACTTGTAAATATAATGACGACCTTGTAAGACATAACAAGTTGATGGAAGCAGGTGTATCACGACTGCTTTTATGTCATTTACGAGGGGAGGTCTGTGTTGAGTGGCTGTAATGATGACGATGATGATGATGATGATGACATGTCGCGTGGTGCGCAGTCGCCGATCGTGGTGTGGCGCATGAAGGCTCCGGAAAAGAAGCCGCTGATCCGTCCGGAGAAGCCGGAGGAGGTGCGCGCCAAGGTGCGCCGCGGCAGCCAGAAGAAGCAGCCCAGCCCCGTGCACGCGCTCGCAGAGTTCCAGAGCCCCGCCGAGAGCGTCTAGGTGACTATCCCCCCCCCCCCCCCCTCACACACACACACATACACACACTATACTAGACACGCTCGCGGAGTGCAGTGTCTATACACATACTCAAGTGATTTACAACAATCCCCTCCCCCGTACACACGCACGCGGACAGATACACATGTTCGTAGAGTTGCAGAGCACCGGCCCGAGGTTATTATAATGTGTGACTGCAGCCGTACCGAAAGAACAAAAGAAGAAACCTAGGTGCTTTGGACCGGAAAAACGGTACACCCACGCAATGTGTATGCCGTGGGTGTATCAGACAACGTTTTTTCGCTTGAAAATGAATGGACATAGTTCGGGGTAGAAATGGTTATCCGCACAACCTAAAAACACCCTAAAAATCGATAAAAAAAGATGTCCTTATTGAGGGAAGAAAACGAACTACATGACATTCTTTATATGTATCTCTAACATCGATATATATGTACTAGGTACTAGATTGCGCATTCCGAACATACACTATGTTTAACTGAACTACTGCAATCCGTACAGTGTGTCATTTAGTGTGGTTTCAATCTACTAACTAGTCTGTGGTTTCAATATACATGCAGTGTGGAGCAGCGCTTATAATACAACATTTCAAATTAAAGTTTAAACCTGGACGTAAATAACAATTCAGTAAAATTATTTGTTGTTCAAATGAATAAATAAGTAATAATATTGTAATATTACAAAAGAAAAAATCATGAAAAAAATATATTTATTCATATAAAATGAACGCGCCAGGCGCAACGCGCTTAAATTAACTGCGTATGCGCGACTCTACTATGTCCCGCGCATGCGCGAAGACATAGAGTAGCGCACATTTTTTGTTTAGAATGTCTTCTCTAGTACGTAGTACATATAACTCAATGATCTCTAATTAAATTGTTTTGTTATATCCAAAATTAGCTACCTTTACTATTAAAGAGTAGAAAACTAATATACTAAATTATATTAGGTAATTAAATTATATTAGGGGCCCTTTTCTGTCTGGAGTCCATCTGGATGGTACCATTCTCTGAACTATTTCTGCCGCAAAATACATGCACTGCTGCGTCCCGTTGTGAAGGCCATAGAGAATCAGTATAATTGTAAGATGTGATGCATTCAAGTCCTCAGAGGTGACGACTGTAGTTTTCTTTGTTCGAGGTTTGCTGCAGGTTTCCATGGAACTACAGTACCCACTCACCATCAGCAGGGCTAGCATGGACGGGAGACAATTTTATCCCGGAGAAAAGGAGAAAATGTGTATCCCCTCGCTTAGTTTTATCCACCCTTCGAGCATGGGCACACCGGTGGATATAATATCCACGGTAGATAAAATGGGAGATAGACTTAGATTTTTTGTATGAATATAAACAAACCCATGTCCAATGAACTAGGATAAAATTCTCCTTTTCAAATTTCAAATATATTTCATTTGGCTCCATGCTACGGACAGGGGATATATGTCTACCCGTTATGTCAAACGGGGATATACATTTCCCCGTTGCCGTGCTTTGGCATAAGGACAAGATAATTTTATCTCTTGTCAGTGTATATAATCGGGGGATAAATTTTTTTCCCCAGCCCATGCTAGCCGTGCGTGTTTATCGCTAAGTTTTATAAGAAATGTCAATACAAACAAAAACCATGTTTCAGATGAAAAGGCGGAAGCGACTTACACGTAGGCGACAAACAACGTATTTATTAAAAATATATCAATATAAGTTATCACTTAGAAGACTTAAAGGATTTATGTTTTTGCGCATTTTGACATTCGCTTTTATTTTACACTGCTAGTACAACAATCCCGATTGTGAGTTAATTGCTTTGCCAGTCTTGTATTATTAAAACGATAATATGTCACTCAGTTGTATTTTTGATTTTTAACGTTTATTTTTAAACGTACGCCATTTTGAATTTCTTTTTTTTTCGATTTTAATATGACATTTTGATATTTTGGCGCGAAATTCAATTACGGGGAAGGAATAGACTTTTTTTATGTTGGGAGAATTTGAGATATTTTATTTAAAAAATATATATATATTGAACATAATGTGAAAAAATATTACTAATCATTTACTTAAAAATAACTTGAAGTTAATTTTAACTTTTAATTACTGACGTTTCGGGTGCTTTACAAAACCCATGGTCACTTGGAGGACTGAGGTGCTTGACGTCCAGATGTCATAATTAGCCCGGCTACTATTCGTTTTTGAATATTAAGTTGTGGTTCGATCTACGAAGATCATGCTTGCTGAAAAGCACCCGAAACGTTGGGAGTTAAAAAGTTAAAATTTATCGCGATAAAGTACGTATAACTTGTTCTATTTAACGAGTAGTATTTGCGTGAATATAAGAAATCATTGCTTTTATTTATTTGACTGAACTGACTTATAGACTTTAATTCCTTATATATTTAATCAAGTTTAAATTATTTAATAATTAACAAGACTCCATCAACACATTATGATCTTTGTATAAGTGTTTAAAATATATTAAGCAGTGTTTACTTCATAAGGCTCCCAACTTTTCCCAAACATAAAATATCGGAATTTATACAAACATCGCAGACTGGAACAGTTTGGAATGTGTACAATAAGATGGCAGCCAAATTTTTTTAGCGTTTAATGTATTTAAAAAAAAATACTGCGATATAGCGTTTTATATTCGATTTTTGAATTTAAGTATTTCGTATATTCGGTGGGTCGTTAAAATGGTACATTTATACAGTAAGCATGTGAAAATTATGAAAACAAAAAACCGTAATCCCTTTCGAATTACAGTGTTATAAAAATTTTATTTCAAAACCTTACTCGAGTATAGATGTGGGTGTCTACGGGCCACAGCATCCACTTACCATCAGGTGGACTGTGTGCTCGCTTGTCACCCTTATTCTTAAAAAAAAAAATATAGGCCTCTTTCAAAGTACGAACGTTTCACCTTAGTCGCCAGTTTTGGCCGGTGAATCGGCGATAATATTATATAAAATATCGCATATTAAACAATAACTAATGTCTGTATATCCGTTCACCTTAACAAGAGAAGCTATTTGCAACGTTATCATTAATAACTCTCCCGTACAACGCCATCTTTATGACAACTCAATAATTATAAAACCTGGCGGTTGCCAAGCCGCCCGCCAAGCGTCACAACCATGGCAAATATCTCCCCTATTAGGCTGCTAATGGGCTTATTATATGGGCATGCTTCAAGGCAGTGATGAGTATTTCCGTTTCTCAAAAAAAAAATCTTCAAGTTTTTCGCATTAGATACAGCCTAGATCCTCCGGGAATTGCTCTGTTCGTCAAGTTTCATTACAATTGGTTTAGCAATTATGAAGATTAGCCCGGACAGACAAAGATTCTATAAATAACATCCTCATCTCAATGAGGGCATCCACGACTTTTTCTGCCACCAGGGCGGCGCCACTAGAAAGTGAGGTATATAATATTTGACAGATTTTAGAGCGAGGAAGTTAATTTGTTTGAAAAATGTAAAGGTTATTGTTTCTTTCTGTACTATTAGCTGTGGTTATGTAATATATTTTATATTAATAACTTTAAAAACAAACCAAACCACAGATATTCATAAAAGTAGAAAATTAAAAAAAAAGTTAAAAATGTGCAAACAATTAAAGAGCAAACGCATTGTTTTGTGTATTAATATAATACTCTAGAAACTGATAAACATTTATTAAAAACCAACTTCTCAATTAAATGACAAAAAACTTTACCTCAGTGTCAACTAGCGACATCTGGTGAGCAGAAAACTATTAGCCCTCATGGCAGTTTTATTTTATTCATCACAACAATTCTTATACCATGTAACATTTTAACGAAGCACTGGGAAAATTAGTTAAGAGATTAGATTAGAAACGTAAAGACGAGTATTATTACAAATGTATTTATTTAAGAGAATATCCTGTATGTATGGAAAAAGAAAACAGTAGTTCAATTTTGACCTTTTCTACTGTGAAATCAAGTAGCGGCCTATATATCTCACTTCAAGGAACATACCTCTCGTTTATAAGAGGCTGATATGCAATTTTAAAAAAAAAAAATTGCACGTGTAATTGTGTACACACGTACGAAGTGAAACTTCTTTACGATATATTCTTTTATTATTAAACGACTTCAAAATAAATTATTAAGAATAACTCAAAAACTATTAGTCGGACCTTGATGAAATTTATATGGAGCCACATGTGAAGCACCAGCTTTCATATAAAAAAAATAATCTTCGAAATCGGTTCACGCAGTAAAAAGTTATGAGGTTAACACACATAAAAAATATACAGTCGAATTGAGTACTGTCTCCTTTTTGAAGTCGGTAGAAAAGGGAGGAGTTTCTCAATACGTCAGAATCTTTTTTTATCTATGTTCACCGATTACTCATAGACGCCTTAACCGATTTGGAAAAATCTTTTTTTTTTTGTTTCAAACAAAGGGTATACTTACCATGTGGTCCCATTTAAATTTTATCGACATCGGTCGACGGGTTTTAAGAATATCAAAAATAAATTATATTCATATTGAAGTCGTTTGTACAAAATTTTAAATTTACTACTTGTATATTTTACATAAGTGGGTTAGATAATAGTGTACTCATGCAACCCCGGTGCGGCGATGGAATATTACAAGAAAACGTGACGTTTTTTTTTAATACCGTATTAAAGCTCTAATAAAGAAGTTTCACTTTAAAATATGATATTTTTAAAATTCAAACATAGAAGAAAATCCCCAAAAATATGTTTAGAGTTAGTTGTAGCGGTTTTACATACAATATTAAATTTAATTATTGTATTTTTAGCAATATACTCAAAATTATACACCTTTTTAGTTTGTAAGGAAAGTTGTATTCGAGGTTGATATGTAAAACCTTATGCTGGTAATTCAGAGTTAATTTTGAGTTGAAACTCTATAGTTTACAATGACGAAATTTGTGTAACATAATAAATATGGCCTAGACTCAAAATTTGGCTTTGTGGAGTTTGAGTTTTAACT